GAGAGCTCAGAGGGTGGGAATGCATAGGAAAGAAGGTCACAGGGAAAAGGTAACCATGGGGAGGAAGTGGGAAGAGAGCTGTTACACTACAGGGATTACATGCAGTCAATGTCATGAAGCAAAATGTGTACGAGCTGTTGAGTGGAAAATGAATTTACTCTGTAAACTCCCACCCAAATCACTAAATAAATAAAAAAATGAAAGAAGTAGATTTGTATTAGAGATGCTCTGAGTGTTTGTGCTGGCTTGTTCCTTTTGCCATTTCTTTCCAGGTTATACAGCATGGAGGCTGGCTCAGTGGTTCGTGCCATCTTTGACTTCTGCCCAAGTGTATCTGAAGAACTGCCCCTCTTTGTGGGTGATGTCATCGAGGTGCTGGCAGTGGTTGATGAATTTTGGCTTCTAGGAAAGAAAGAAGATGTTACAGGTAAGAGGTCTGTGGTTCCCCATGTACAAAATGGACCACAGAGTCTCCTTCTTTCTGTATTAAAAAAAGTTAAATGGGAAGCTCAAGTCTACAAGCTTCAGAATCCTTTTGTGTTTCCCTTAGACATTCCTACTGTGGTCTCTGCCAATGAGGAGAGAATTTCTGTGTATCATTCTACCTCTCCTTAGTGGTTCCTTCCAGAGGATGAAGTGGTTGGACACCAGCTGCCCCAGCGCGGTTTTCTATTCACATCTGTCTTCCCTTTCCTTTCCCTTCGCAGTTCTTTGTCCTTTGGGTTCGGTGGTTATTTCTCTTCTCACAGTATGCAATCCTCCTGTGTTCACAACAGCCTGTTCGTTTGCCATTGCCTTTCACATCCAGTTTTTATCTCTGATTTATGCAACGTAGGTACTCTCCACCTTGTTTTCCCTGGCTGCCTTCTTTTAACTATATTTCCACCCAATATTTCATTCTTTTCAAGGTAACTTGATTAATCATGTTTACCCCTTCTTGGGTTCTTGGTTGGACAAAAGTTATTAAAGCTATTACCTACCCTAGATGCTACCTACCTTCCACTGATATACACGAGCTTACCTTTCATCAATTGTTTACAAAATGGTAACACCAATTTCTTCCATTAATTAGCATAGGGAACGGTGGCACTTTTTCCCACCCCATATGCACTTATGTAAATCCAATCCTTGACTTACATATATTTATGTAAGTCTGGGTTGGAGTATGTTATGCTGTCCTTAGAATAGCCTTTGTCATTTGCTACTGTAGTTTTTCAATTGTGATTTGTGAAAGCTTACGTAGAAAATTGATTTTCCATTCAACAATTCATACACATTTTGTTTTGTGACATTGATGGCAAGCCCCACAATCTAACAGCACTCTTCCCCCTTCCTCCCTGTGGTTACCATTTCCCTTTGTCCTTCTTTCCTGTCCCTTCCTGCCTTCGGAGCTTTAACCCTGGCAAATGCTGCCTTTTGGATCTCATATGGTTGATTGTTCTAATGAGTGCATACCTCCCTGGCGTTATTGTTCATTTTATGGGGCTGTCTGTCATTTGGCTGAAAGTTGTGCCATTTGTTTATTCATTCATTCAACAAACATTTGCTGAATGCCCACCAGGGAATAGAATGATAATCAGGATAGATACAGTTTACCCCCCATGGCGATTACCTTCTAGAAGGAAGGCAGTTAATGGCAGCTATAGCCCAAATGTCATGTGCTACGAGAAAGGAAGTAATGGGTACTATAGATGCATTTAAAAGGGACATAAACCCACATTTGGGAGATTATAGATTATTTCCTGATAGAAATAGTATCTCAGTTGAGACACAGAGGCTGAGCAGCAGTTACCAAGAGGGTATGG